TAAACTTTCATTTTTTTGGATTCTTTTTTCTTGTTGCTATTCTGATTGGGTGTCCTCTGCTACCTCATCCTCTATGTTGCCAATTTGATCCTCCTTTTCATCCACTCTGTTGATTCCCTCTAATGTGCTCTTCATCTCAGATATTGTGGTCTTCATTTTCTGACTGGCTCCCTATTATGTTTTCCATCTCCATTTTTATGTTTTTTATCTTTTTGTTAAAGTTCTCACTGAGTTCACCTACTCTTCTCCTAAGTTCCTTGAGCATCCTTAAAACCAATGTTTTAAACTCTGCATCTGGTATATTGCTTGACTCCATTTTGGTGAATTCTTTTTCTGGAGCTTTGTTCTGTCCTTTCATGTAGGACATGCTTCTTTATATCCTCATTTTGGCAGCCTCCTTGTATCTGTTTCCATGTGGTAGGTAGGGCTCCTAAGTTTCCCAGTCTTAATAGAATGGCTTTATGTAGTAGGTGTGCTGTGGGGCCCCTTGGCAAAGACCTGGGAGGGGTCCAGCTGCAGGCCAAGTTTAGTTGCAGTCTGTGCACCTCCAGGACCACCTAGTAAGAGTCACCAAGCAATCCACGTATGTCTGCCACCCATGTTGGGCTTATAGGTGCCTTGAGGGTCTAAGTCAGGAACTGAGGCCAGCTGCAACTGGTATGGGGTTCGGGGCTGCTCAGCAAGAGGTATAGGGCACACCGAGGCCAGATGCTGCTTTTCTGGGTTTTGTGAGCTTTTGAGAGATTTTATTAAAATTTGCCACAGGATCCAAGACAGCCTGTTTGTATGGAATAAATTACTGGAAGCGACTTGGGTGGGCTTACAAGTTAAGAGAGTCAAAGTCTCAGGGAATCCCCTGGGCAGAGCGACCTGTGTTATCCAGGTTGATGGCACCTGCGTCTGCAGGCTGGCAGGGTAGAGGGCTCAGAGACAGAACAATGGCTTCTGCCTGCACCTCTGTCTGGCTGGTACCCCTCACTCCTCAGGTGGGGGAAGTGCCTCTGCAGCCAAGATAGCCCTCCTGATTCTCGATCGCCACACACAGTTGTGGGACTGGTCGTTTCCTGTCTCTGTCCCTCCTTCTATTTTGAGGTGACCTAGTTTTAGGGCTTCTGTTTATCCAGAACTCTGACAACTCTGCGTACTAGTTGCTCTGTAGTCTTGTTATACTTTTGGTGTGGTCTCTAGAGTTGATGTGTGCTGCCTCTACCTTCTACACCATCTTGAATCCTCTCTAAAATAATTATTGATAGGTATGTGCTTATTGCCATTTTGTTCCCTCTTTTCTGGCTTTTTTTGTAGTTCCTCTTTTTTCTTTTTTTCTGCTCTTGCTCTCTTCTCTTGTGGTTTGATGCCTTTCTGTAGTGCTATATTTATATTTCTCTCTCATTATCTTTTGTGTATCTATGTAGTTTTTGCTTTGTGATTATCATAAGGTTCACATATAATAGTATATTTAACAGTCTATTTTAAGTTGATAGAAACTTAAATTTGAAAGCATTCTTCAAACTCTACATTTACCACCCCCTATGTTTTATGTTTTTAATGTCATATTTTACATCTTTTAATTTTGTGTCTATCTGAGCTAATTATTATTATAGTTAACTTTACTACTTTTGTCTTTTAACCTTCAAACTAGCTTGATAAGTGGTTAATCTACTACCTTTAATATATATTTGCCTTTACTTATGAGATTTATCTTTCATATATTTCCATGTTGTTTGTTAGTTCCTTTTCTTTTCAGCTTAAAGAAGTTCCTTTAACATTTTTTGTAAGGCCAGTTTAGAGGTAATAAACTCCTTTAGCTTTTGCTTATCTGGAAACTCTTTATCTTTCGATTCTGAACGATAACCTTGCCAAGTGGAGTATTCTTGTTTCGAAGATTTTCCTCTAAGCACTTTGAATACATTATTCTGCTTCTTCTGACCTGAAAATTTTCTGCTAAAAACTCAACTCATAGTCCTATGGAGGTTGTTTTTCTCTTGCTGCTTTTTAAAGATTCTCTCTTTATCTTTAATTTTCGACATTTTAATTAAAATGTATCTTGGTGTGGATAGCTTTGGGTTTATCTTTGAAACAGTCTGTGCTTCCCAGACCTGAATGTCTGCTTCCTTCTCCAGATGAGGAAATTTTTGTCATTATTTCTTCAAATACATTTTCTGCCCCTTTCTCTCTCTCTTCTCCTTCTGACACCCTTATAATATAAATGTTATTCAGCTTGATGCTGTCCCATAGGTCCCTTAAGCTTGCTCTATCATCTCTCTCTCTCATCTATCTCTATCTATCTATCTATCTATCTATCTATCTATCTATCTATCTATCATCTATCTATCTATCTATCTCTCTATCTAATCTATCTATCTATCATCTATTATCATCTATCTATTTATTTATTTTTGCCACTCTGTTTGGGTGCGTTCTAGTACCTTGTCTTCCACATTGCTGATCTGTTCTATTTCATCCAGTCTGCCTTTGAACCCCTCTAGTGTATTTTTTTTCATTCAATTATTGTATTTTTCAGCTTTGTTGCTTCTGTTTTGTACTTTTTAATATTTTCTATCTCTGCCTGAAGTTCTCACTGTGTTTATCTATTCTCCTGAGTTCAGTGAGCATCTTTATGACTATTACTTTGAACTTTAATAGGCAAATTACTTATATATCTGTTTCATTAAGGTTTTTTTCTTGTTATTTAATTTAGCATATATTTCTTTATTTCCTAATTTTGCCTGACTCTCTGTGTTTGTTTCTATGTATTTAATGGCAGAGTTTTCTTTACAAGTCTTGAAAGAGTAGTCCTGTGTAGGAGATTAACCTTATTGTTTAACCTTGCCCAATTTCTTGATTGTCTCTCCAACCTTTGTGATTGTCTATAGAAGCCTGATTTATTTCTGATAAGTCCCAGTTTTTGAGGGTGTACCAAGACCTGTGAGTGTTCCAGAGGGAGGGATCTAAGTCAGCATCTAGTTTCAGGATGAATGGAAGCTAGACTGTGAGGCAACAGATTTTAATGCATGCAATGTTTAGACAGCCCTGTGAAATCGCAATTGTGAATCCTGCTGAATTCCAGCCCAGTTGATCTAGAGGTTTCCCCTTGGTGACAGTACTAAAAATTGGGGTCTAGACAAATGTATAAGCTCTTATTTGGGAGGTACTGGTGAGCTATAATGAAGCAAAGGAGAGAGCAAAGATGATGTTCCCCATCCTATATTCCCTGAGAGCATTTTTGTAACCTCTAGATGTGTGACATACTTGAAGTCTGCCCCTCAGGCTGGAGCTCCAGGACAAGAAAATAGGTCTTTTTCACAAGATTGAAAATGTGTTTCATCTGCTGTCTTTGCAGTGTCCTTGGGGTGATAGCCTTTCAAAAACTGTCTCTAATTATTTCAGACATGTGGTGCCCAGAAAGGCAATCTTGTCTGGCCACCAGAGTCAGGTATTCAAGGGACATCCTCTATGTGGGCTGCATGCACCTATTGACCATGACAAGGCCATGGGAGTGATGAGGGGGTTGGATGGTGATGTGCACAACCTTGATGGGGCCATGGGAGTGGCACAATGGCAAAGTGTACCCACTGGCACTAGTATGTTAGAGAAAGAATGCAAATATTGTGCTCACTAGTGCTGATGCTAGCAAGGTAGACTGAAAATGCAAAAGCGAGCCTCAGCAGCACCCTTGTTCCTGGAGAAAGTTCCAACAGGCTCCTGCCCTTCTGGTAGATACTTTAAGATTAGTACATGAATCTCCGTCACATATGTTCTAGGTTCTTTTTAAACTACTGCTTTTGCACTTGGTCCCTGGGCAAGTGAGTTTGCTTACAGCCCTTTAAAAGTGAAATCTTCATTCTTTACAGTTCTATGGTTCTCTTGGACATAAGACCTGCTACTTTTCAAAGCCACATATTTTGGAGTCAGTGTATCTGGTGCAGGTCCCAAGGGTTGGGTTGGCCAATGTAGGGCATGAACCTCTTGCCCCTCAGGGATAAGCTTCATATTTGCGAGATCTCTCTCGTTTGTTTGTTGCCATGACAGGGACGAGGTTTTGAAAGACCACATCTCTCCTACCTATCTTGATGTGACTCTTTTATCCTTTGTGGTGGAGAATTTGTTCAGCTAGTCTTCAGGTCCTTTTCAGAGGGAATCGATTCAAATGTAGCTGTAGACTTGTATCTATAAGAGGAGGTGAGTTCAGGATCTTCCTATGCCACTATCTTGAACCACCTCTGAATGTATTTTTAATTTAATTTAATTTAATTTAATTTATTTAGAGAAGTCCAATATTATAGGCAACAGTCCTGCTTTACAGGCCATGTGGAAAATTTATCTTAGATTTTAAAATCTGTTAGTCATGATGGTGAAAGGCATTATTTCTGTGAAATGTGAAGTCACAGAAAGAAAGGAAAAATAATATTAAACAGCAGAGAATAAGGGCAGAATTTGGATTTTTATTTAATTGCTTTTAGAGTAATAAGAAGAACATGTTTTCCTTAAGTGTATTGCATTGTTAACAACATTTAGAAGACCAAAGAGGCAGCTGATGAGGTTTTCGAAAGAAGGATTGTTAACATTTTGGGGTTCTTTCTGCTTCAGGAAAGAACTTTGAATCAGGACCTCTAAAATTTTAGTATCTAGTTATCCTGGAATTTGCCAAAACATAGCTTCCCCATCCATGTAGCAAGAGTGAAAATTATATTTATCATCTATTATTTAAGATCTTTAAAAGAAGATTATAATAAAGTGGAGTGATTAAAGAAATGGAAGAAGCATGAGCTTGATTTGGTATGTTGACTCGTACATTGCTATAGGTGAGGTATTGTGAAGCTTCTGGAAGACTAGATTGTTCCAAGCAGAGGAGATACTGGCCTTTAGGGTTCCCATTCTACTATGTTGTAACTGGATATTGTCCAATGATCCTTTGTGGTTGGAAGGACATAATTTCAACAGACTGGTAACTAATTGCTTTTATCTCTGGTTTATTCACAGGAGATTGAATAAAGAAAACCATGATGGTGCAAGCACAACTGCACTGCTTATATTTCCTTACACTTTATTTGGTAAGAGAAGAGGATGTTCTTTATTTATTTACTAAGATATTTTTCGCCATCCTTATACCCCAAACCAGAGAAGCAATGGTTATCACTTAAAAAAAGAGTCTATCAGAATTCAATGTTTGCCCCAAAGTGAGATTTTTAATAGAATGTCTACAACTCATATGTCTGTATTTTCTCCTTAGTTCTTAAAAGCCAATAGCACTTAATGGGCAAAGTGTAAAAAAAATCTATCTACTCAAGTTTAGATTTTCATGTCAGGGAATCAGGAAATAAAAGCATATTGCCACATGTGTTAGTCTGAGTCCCTTAATCTTGACCATTTTTTTTTTTTTTACTTTGACCATGAAAAATTACCAGTGAAACACGAAGAAAATAATTTTCTCTATTTTCAACCCTGCTCTACTCTGTACTTTTCTTTCTATAAATGTTTTGGAGTTTCCTAGTTAAATTTGTCTTTAGCCATTTATTGAGCTAAGCCTACTGACAGGCTTGTAAACAGTGGAGATGGATGAAATTTGAAGAAATCCAACCCTTGACCTCAGATAATGAGATGCTATCCTGATTTTACTCATGAGCTCCATAAATGTCATTCACTTGCCAATTTGTTGTATTATGAAGCAAGATTATGGAGAAGCATTTGCTTTTACCTTAGAAGGAAGGTGATGCTCACATCTCTAGATGCTCACACCTCAAATCTTGGTTACTTTCTTCTGTAACATATAAATTTAACATATAAAGTAACATATAAATTTCAAGTCTCAGAGAACTTTCTAGAGCCCACACAGATCAAAATATTTAGAGTGAAGTAGAATGAAACTTGTGAAAATATCACAGCTTTTCTCCTGGGGATGGAGGGCCAGGAGTGGATAACCTGTAGTTAAAATTTTATGAGCAACGCATATCCTCAAAAACCAAGGGCTCAAAGCTTGTCACAGGATTACTTAAGAACTGGATTAAACATACCCACTTGACTTCTCTCTTCTTCCTACTCTCTGAAACAACCTTTGCTATCTATATATCATACAGTTATAGTAAAGTCAGATCTAGGTTCAAACTTGGCACTGTGACTTACCCGTGATAGGAATTTGGGTGAGTTACTTAAGCATCGAACCTAAGTTTTCTGCACTGTGAAATGGGTCTGAAAGATTACTTGCCTATAGAACGTTGTGGCAATTAAATGAGACAACACATTTTTAAAGCCCTCAGATTAGTGACTAGCATAGTCTAAGCACTCATTAAATATTAGCTCTTATCATTACTACAGGGTTTTAAATATTCGGTGTCTACACTTAAATAGACTCTGACCTCCATGTGGAAGGGACTGTATTTTAGTCATCTTCGCAACTTCAGTACATAGCACAGTGCCAGGAACAAGGTAGAAATTAAATTCATAATTATGGGCTTATATTAGGAAACAACAATGAGATCTAAGGGAGAGAAAGAGAAGATTCTATCAATAATTTGGTATTAGTGGGCTCATCTGCTTTTTGTCTAAGAATGTACATGCATTCTTCTTTTTGGATAAAAGTTGAAAATAAGTTTTCCTTCTCTCTGCTCTCATCCCAGTGAGATTTCTACCTATAGTAAGAAATACTGTCCAAACACTGTTGATAGCAAGACCTTTGCCCAGGAGATAGTCACAAAGCACAGCTGCCTTTGGTTGAAGGAGGGAAATTGCTAATTCTGTGGTGGGATTTCAGGGACATTAAGATGGAGCCACTTCTCTCTCCTGCCTCCACCCATCTTTACTCCCAAACCCTCTCTTATGAAGAGTGGAAGTTTAGTTGGAGTTTTTGCCTTTACCATACTGCTTTCTTCAGCAGAGGTAGTAATTTAAAATGATCGCCAGTCATTTATTCTATACTGTGAATGATTCTTCTGTTACTTTCTGAGAACTGGTTTTCATAAAGGGGTTAGAAACACTGCATGAATATATTGTAAAGGTATTGAAGAGAGAGGAAGTAAGTAATCCAGGGTTTGGGAAAAGGTGATGAATAGGGAGGAAGGGAAATCAAGGAGAAATCACCTATTTTAGAGTTTTGCCTGGGACTATGATTCTTCCAGAAGGAAGAATATCTTGGAATAAATACTATGTAATCAATTCAGAGAACACTTGCTGGAAAATGCAATGAGAGTGGCTACCAGGCAGGCAGATCTGGCAATTGCACATCCTTTGATGGCCTGGAAGGCAGTGTAGCAACATAGTTCAGAGTCGGGGCTTGGTTCAACAGAGCTGGCTCTATCCCACTGTAAAGCCAAGTATCTGTGTTTCTGCTGTGGGACTTCTCTGGAGATATTTTCCTGATTTTGATGAAAACCAGAAGAAATGATGTGTGTGGAGGGTCTAGTTCCATACCTGCCACATGAAGAACACTCAGAACTGTCTGTTTCATTTTCTATCCCTCCTTTCCCCTCTTCGTACAAGATGGTGAATGTTATTACCTCCATCTCCTACATAAACCCTCTGGCCCTTTCATATGTTTCTACCACCCTGTCCTTCTCAATTCTGGCAGCATGATCTGATGACTCATGGTGTGCGCATGGATTTTGAAGTCTTTGTAGTCTAGATAGCTGTGTTAATGGGCAGGAAAAAAGATTTGTTGCCTCAATATAGGAACCCAACTTTGAACCCTGCAACTGAGATGTATCCTCCTTTCCTGATAGGTAAGCCAGCTTGTCCATGTAGAAAGAATGCAGGATTTATGTGAGGTTTGCTTGACTAATGCAGTTTTCCTCTGGATGCCATCACTGGTATGATCAACTGAAAGGCTGGCCACTTGCTGATGTAAGTGGCAAGTTGATGAAAGGAGTTTTCTGTCAAACAGTAGCTCCACAGAAATCACTGCCCTCGTCTGGGACCAAACATGGCAGCACCTGGCCATCTTCACCCAGTTCTTGTGCCCCAACTTCCAGAGGAGCTAATGGACCTGAAGAAGATGTAGTAAAGGAGTGGAAGGAAGGAAGATCCCCCAGAGGAAGATTAACTTAGAAAGTAAGAGATGAGCTAGAGGCTATAGAATTATTGGCTATAGAATTATTGTTTTAGTATAGAGTACTTTTAGCTATAAGTAACAGGACGTTTAACTTTAGAGATCTTCACTAGGGGTTTGTTTTCCTCAGATAACAAGGAGCCTGAAGTGGGCAGTCCAGGGCAGGTTCAGTCTCTGTGATGTTATCAGAGACTTAGGCTTCTTTCTTTTTGCTTTATCATTTTCTGAGCTGGGTTGTCCCTTCATGGTTTCATGATGGCTGCCATAGCTAAAGACACAAGGTCCATTATCTGAGTGACAGCAGGGGAGATAAAGGGCAATGCCAGCCACATCTGTCTTTTTTCATCAGGAAAACAAAAGCTTGACCAGAACTCCCCAGGAGACTTTCTTTTTTTTTTTCCATGAACCAGAATGGTTCACTTGGCTGTCCTCCTAGCTGCAAAGGAGTCTAGGAAAGAGACCACTTGGTTTCCCATGGGAGAGAAGTTGACAATGGCTGGGAGCAGCTAATCCAAGGGCCTGCCATAAATCTGAAGAAGAGGGGACCAAATTCCAAATCCCTCTGTATTCTCATTTGTTATCGTTCCTTTACCAGACAACCATTATCAACTTAAGATTCAATTAACCCAAGGATCTAGTGTAAGATAATTTCCCCCCATCACTCTCATACTAACTGTTTCTGGGTTATTGCCAGCATTTCCATGCCAAGGATATACTTGCTCTCCCTAAAGAAACAGAAAACAAATTCTCCCCTGCACAAACCCCTCTCCTCTCCACTTCTTACTTTTTTAGTTTTATCTGACTAGCTCAAAAGCTATTGACTTGCCACATGCTTTTGATTCTAACCTATCCCACCTCTAATTTTCACTATAAGTAGGAGTCTGAAGAACCACTCAGGAAGGAGAGGAGACCAGCATCAAGTATGAGGGCTAAATCCCTCCTCCCAGAGCATACCCCTCCATGGGTGGGTTTTTGGCTGGCTGTCCTTTCCTGTGTGCCACCGGCTCCACTCTGCCTTCAGTTTCCCTTCAGAGAGCAGTTGTCCTAGAAACTAAGGGATGGCAGGGGCTGCTGCCGAATGCTCCCCATTTTACCTGGTTGGGAATGATAGGAGTCATACCTTCCCACACATCTCTGCTGCTTTTGTTTCCTCTTGTGGGTAGTGACTGAGATGGCCAGTTTTAGAGTCTCAGGTTTGAATCTTGCTTCCTGCCACTACCTGAGCAAAATACTTAACCTCTCTGTGTCTCAGTCTCATCACCTGTAAAATGAGCTAACAATAATTTACCTCCTTATGGTTGTTGTTAGGATTAACTATGCTTAGGACAGAGCTCAGCACATAATAACTTAGTGAGTGTGAGCTCTTCTTATTGTCCCTGGATTTGGGCATCTGCAGAGGGTTCCTTGCCTTTTAAGTTCAGGGTCTTTGAAAATTCGAATTGGTGTGGGGCTACTGATTGAAGAAAACATTCTGTGCTTTAATTTTTTTCTAAATGAGTAAAGATAGTTAAACAAATGTTAAACAGTAAGCTTTTCTTAAAGTTACAGTTCGAATTCAAATCAAATTTGAATGAATTTACCATGTAATTATGTGTCATGCAAGCATTGTACTAAACATATCTGCATATATTTTCTTCCCCTTACAAACCCAATTGTCTCTGGGGAGACTATAAGCTCTAGAGTTTAGGGAATCTTTCATGAATTTCCTTATGAGCTAACAGAAGTAAAGGGAGATGTTTTAAGAAGCTGTTGTTAAACCATCTAGAATTTAGAAGGCACTGTGGGAAGACCATGAGCTTTTGTTCAGTTAGATCCGCATGTATGTGCTGTGTCAACCACTTATAAATTTTACTCTGAACAAGTAGCTTAACTTTTCTGAGCCTCATTTGTAAGATGAGAGTTAATATTCCTCCTATAGGGCCATTGCTTGAATGGTTAAATGAGAAAAGCAATGCAAGGTTCATAGCAAACCACTGACATAGTAGAGCCTCAAGAGATAGCAGGGTTCTTTCTGACTATTTTGACTAGATTTCATATTGCTTTGAGCCAGGTTAAAATCTTATGTTTTATATATCAGTCTTGGAAGCCACAATAAAATCAGCAAGTGACATATATACATTCATAATATATGGTAATGTTAATTTTCATTTTATTTTTTTAACAGACAACTGGGTATGGCCAAGAAGGGAGGTTTAGTGGACCCCTGAAACCCATGACATTTTCTATTTTTGAAGGCCAAGAAGCAAGTCAAATCATATTCCAGGTAATGACTACTCTTAATGACTACTCTCACTGTCATCTTAATTTCTCATGCTCTCTCAGTGAACTTTTACTCTTATCTACTGTGTAGCAGGAAATAAAATAGAGGCATGCCAGATCTCATTATCAAGAATGATTTCAGAAGCTAAGTTAAACAGAGAGATGAGTGGCCTCTGTATTGTAAGGCATTGAACCTAACATCCTATATTCGGACTTCCTTAGCTGTGTCTGGGGCAAATTCTCCCATCCTGGGAGTGGGGATCTTGGTCCCTATAGGCTCTGCCTCTCCCCAAGGGTAGGAAGGGAACTTGTTTCTAGCAATCGATGGCCATCTGATCATCAGGCTGTTGGTTTGATGCGTTTGCTGCTTGAAATGTTTGAAGATGTGGGTTCTCTGGATTACTGCTGGAATGGCCTCACTGTTTGGCCAAAGGCCCACTTTGCATCACTACCTCCTCTGAGCCTAACCCTTGCCTGTGGGTTGGCCAGGGCACACTGGGAGGCAGTCATTTCTTTCAGTTAGGTAACTGAGAAAAGCATCAGATTGAGTGGTGATCTGTAGGTGGAAGTGAGAGACTTCAACTATAAAAATATTTGAAATAATCCTGGAAATGTAATGGAGAGGAAGAAAAACATGCTACTATATTTACAGAAATCCCCTGGGGAAGCCTGCTTGGCCTTGGAGTGGCTGAGGATGCTTTGATGAGCCTCTGGGGTACCTATGATCCCCACTCCCCCACACACTGGGAGAGAAACAGCGGTTTGTTAAACTACCTTCTAAGGTAGATGCCTTCCATTGTTGGACAGTTCTAAACACACAGAGGCTGAAAGCTGCCTTGTACCCCTTCCCCCACCTTGGGAGTAAAGATTTGAAGTCACCAATTATTGTAGTTGAATTGTATATTTTCCCTTTGATTCTCATTTTTTGCTTTATGTACTTGGGGGTGTGTTGGTAGATACATATATGTTTATAATTGTTATAGTTTTTTGATGAATTGATCCTTGTATCTTTGTTGAATGTCCTTTTTAGTCTCCAGTAAGAATTTTCATTTTAAATTGATATTGTTTTTAAGTCTATTTTTTTCTAATAGATTAATTTCACCCTCGTTTTGAAGGATAATTTTGTCAGATATAAACACTTAGCAGTCATTTTCTTTTAGCACTTTGAATATGCCATTCTGCTGTCTTCTGGCTTCCATGGAAAGTCAGCTATTTATTTTATTGAGATCTGTTGTATGTGATGAATCTTTGCATTTTCAAGGTTCTTTTTGTCTTTCAAGTGTTTAATTATGATGTGTCTAAGTTTGGGTCCCTTTGAGTTTACTGTAGTTGGAGTTTATCAAACTTCTTGGATATATAGATTAATGTTTTTCTCAAATTTGGGAAAATTTTGGT